ATCTCAGCGGCATCACTTGTACTAAGCATCCCCACTCTACATCTAGCCCGCACCCGAGTGTCACCATTGCAGGGGTGACACTAAAATGACTGACAGTCATTTTGGTGTCACCACTCTCTAAAACGTCGGGCACTCGGTCATGGACCGAGAGCCCGACAGTGTCAGAAGAGAGGAGGGGACCTGTCGGCATACCTCATCCCACCGGGTGAACATCCCCTCCTCTCTCTGCCGGCACCCATCACCAAGATGGCCGCCGGCAGGCATCGATCACATGGTTGCGCATGCGCGAGGTCACGTCATGCGCACGTGCGATAACGACACCCGGCCTCGGGACGTCCTTGCCTGAAGCAGGATTAAATGTAGAAAAAAAGTACCCGCCTACTTCCTGCCGCCCCTAGGCCATGCCTCGGTGGCCTTGTGGGAAATCTGGCCCTGCTTCTGCCCATCATTTTCTTTAACCTCCTGGATTCCTGATGTGCTTTTCATCTCTTCCTGCTGCTTGATCGCAATTTCACAAGAATACATATCCCAGCATGCATTGCTTCCTGCCAGCAATGATAATGTTACATTGTTCAGTTGTTGAGTTGTGGGGAGTGGGGACACAAGAAACTGCATATTCACAGGGCTGAGTGATAGTGCATTGAGGAAGTCCATCCTATGGACATCTTCAGTTTACAAACTTCTAGATGGATATTAAGAGTGGGATGTAACTTATGGAAAATCAATATAAAAATACAGATTTATTTTTAGTTTTTGACCATAGATACCCTTTAAACCCTGGGTTCTCAACTGGTGGGTCGTGACCCAAAAGTGGGTAGCAACCCCATGTTCAGTGGGTCACCGTATGCCTCCCACTTTTCTAGGTAAGAGGCTACTCAGCATCCCCCTTGCACTGTCAGTTCTCACACCAAGCAGCCATTCAAAATATGCTCCTTGTGCCGAGTGCCAGCTCTAGGTGGGGTGGGGTGGGATGGGGCTATGGCCGCGAGGGAGCTCGATCCATACGTGCATTGCTTACAGCTCTCTCACCTGTCCTGTAGAGGTGCCTGGACCAGAGAGACGTCACATTCTGGCTCCCTGCACCTCTATAGGGCATTCCAGGGAGCTGTACCAGCAATACTCATATGGATGGAGCTCCATCACAGCACAGCAGCCCACACTGGACCCCAGGCTGAGGATCTACTCCAGTTCTATGGGGAGAATGGGTGGATCTTAAAAATCTTTTTTTTGGAGTGTGTGTATGTGTGTGTGAGAATGCCTGTGAGTGTGTGAGATTGTGGCTGTTTTTTAGGGCTCGTTCACTCTAGTACAGTGCCGTAATCCCACAGTCCCGTGCAAGTAATGCACCTTACCACGCAATCGCACCATTCTGGTGCAGGAGGTGCAATGCATTGCCATTCATTTGAATGGCACCGCATACACACCTCCCACCGACAGTTTGATCGCCCGCACCAAAACGCCTCTGCCTCTAGATAGGCAGAGCCAGCTGTCACTCACGCAGCTGGGTGGATCTCGACATCGATGTCGGGATCCGCTCCGGCTGCGGCTGTAGCTCGCGGTATACTGAACTTAGGGTAACGGGAGGACGCTAGTTTGTGTCCTCCCGTTATCCTAAGGAGAACTATGGGGAAAAGCCCTGACCCCATAGTTCTCCTTTAATGATCAAGGACAAATGTGGGTCCTGAGGTTACACAGGTTAAGAACCATTGCTTTAAACGATGGGGAAACATGCGGTAACACACTGCAACACAATGCTAAAGTATAAATGGGCCCTAACACTTTTTTTGGTCAGCTTGGCCTGCATGTAAATGTGGAGAAAAATATGCAGTTGCCGGAATGCTGTTTTGTTTTATTTTTGTCACTGCTCCAAAGTATTTGGTTTGCTGCATGCTGCACTTAGCTGAATACAGGCTGCAATTTCAGGTTATTTTCGTGTCTTGTCTCCATGACATTGCAGAATCACGTCCCTTACAAGAGAAATGTTTTTGTCATCTTCCTTTGTGCGGATGACACTGAGCAGACACAACGGCCTATTCAAGTGCTCCTGGAAACTATTTTAAGAGCCATTACTTGCGGTGAAAGCAAATGTTTATACAGAACATTTTCAAGCCAGCATTAGGAAGCACATGACTGAAGATAAGCAAATCTGTTTGGGTTTGCCAGGATTCAAGCCGGCTTCCCTGTCCCCTTGTTGTTGCTGGCACTATCCGGATGCTTCTTTAAAGATAAAAAAAACCATCAATATTTACATCTTGATGTCTTTATGTTTTATGTTACCTTCAAAAATGAGTGGGAGATCCATGGGAATTGAAGAGAGAAGATATTGCAACATAACCAGGGCCGGATTTACTCTCCCTGCTGCCCCAAGGCCAGGTTCTGCAATGTGCCCCCCTATCGCCAACCCCTCCCCCCCCCAATCAATGAAGAATGGCTTCCTTAAACTACATTTAGAGCCTGTTTTCCCAAAGCAGGGCTAAATGTAAAAAACAACTTACCGCCCGGCTGCAGGTTCCGGGCATCGGGGGATTCCACACCGCTGTTGCCCCTGTGCTCCCTGCCGCCCCGAGGGTCTATTTCAAAATCAGCAGTGTGGCTTTAACATGGTCATACCCCCACAAAATAACAAAGGGCACATTTATAAAGCAATGTGCTTTACAAATGTGCTTTGAGCACTATTAAAATTATAGGAAAACAAGAAACAAAAGGGCAGAAGGAGAGAAAAGTTGCGTGGTCTGTCATGTAACCAGCCTCTCCTCCAATCACAGAGCTCTCTCTCTGCTGTTTTAACCAGAGAGAACTTTGTGCATTACCGCAGGCTCCATGACCTGCGTTTTATGAATGGGTCGCAAAATGAGGGCCATGAGTATAATAATCTAGACGTTTATAGGGGTAATGGATAGCAACATTCTCTTTCTTATAAATAAGCCCCACAGGGATTTGTGATTGATCTAGGTATGATCGATCACTAAGTGATTGCTAAGTAATTGCAAATAAGAGGTCCATTTGGTTTCTAATTAATTGCAAACAAGAGGTTCATCATCAAGTAAAATAATGAGCATTGCAACTCATGGTATTGTTCCATGCTTTTCGATCAACTGGAAATATAGATCAAAAATATGGTTTAATCAGTCATAAATATTAAAGGAGAACTATGGGGTCAATGTTTTTCCCCATAGTTCTCCTAAGGGTCATGGGAGGACACAAACTAGCGTCCTCATGTGACCCAAAGCTCAGTATACCACGAGCTACAGCTCGCGGTATACTGAGACCACCGCAGCCGGGACGGATCCCGACATTACTGTTGAGATTCACCCAGCTGCGTGATTGACAGCTGGCTCTGCCTGTCTAGAGGCAGAGCCATCTGTACTCGCCCCCTCCCCCGTCCGTTCCGCCAGTCAGCGCTGGAGGATCGGACAGGGGAGGGGGAATCCCTGCAGGGAGCCGTGAGTGACAGTCACGGCTCTCTGCAGGGACAGGATCGAGAAGTGAGCGAGTGACGGCATGTGTGCGCTCACTTCCCCATCTATTGAGCCAACGTGTGACAGTTTCATTGGTCAGCTTGAACTATGAGCATGAGTGAAAATCACTCACCTCATAGTTCTCCTTTAAACAGGTATTTAATCTACCAGTAATACCAGTAATATGATTGGTTCACCAGAAATTCACCCATGGATGTTCTATGCGAGTCAAAATCAAGAGCTGTCTCGATGGATCAAACGCAGAGTCTCTGATTTTTATTCAGTTCCTTGGAATTGAATGATCAACTAAACAATCACATCGGTCCACGTGTGGCCACCATAGGCTTCTACAACACATAGGACCACAATCTCTCTGATTCCTATATCAGGCACCGGCAATGAAAGGTCACTGGGTGATATGGAGTCTGAAGTTCTACAGACATTGTGCAAGAACAAACAGAGGTGTAATTAGGGAAAGACACCACAAAAGAGCAAAGTCACTCTAGAAATAGAAAACTTTTCCTGCATGCCCAACAGTTACATCTTAAGTGGCCGTCCAATGGTTGAACAATTGGCAGAATCAGGGGGACGCAATGGTAACAGGATCCTGGACCCGTCATTGCTAGAGGAAAGCACAGAAGGAGGTAGATGTGTGCCCTAATCTGCGAGTATGCTGTGCATGCTTGCAAATGTTGGCAAAAGCTCAACTCTGCCAACGGAGTTTACTTCCGCTTTAACAGTAAAACAGCCCTGAGGACAAAGGCTGGGTGCCACGATGTAAAGTCAATTTCAGTTGAGAGCAAGTTGGGCCAAGATCGCTCACTGGGGTGAAAATCTAACATCACAAACCCACACACACCCTTCTTTTTATAATGCTACATAGGGTGTGGTGTGATCAAAATTAGGTGCGGTTGAACAACTCATCGAACAGGAGGCCGTCAATACAAACACCACAGTTAGGGTGCCAAAATTCCTTGTTATTACAATAACCACCATGCTTTCATAATTATATGCCCACATCTGCCAGAAAACATCTATACATCATTTTTCACACCACCAAACTGCATTCTTTACTCTCACAGACTCTCATTATCAGTTGACCTACACTGATCACATATCAAGTATGATCATTGGTGGAACCATTACCTAGAGTCTGAGGAATCCACAGAATATCTTTGTAGCCTTTGCAATCAGATTTGTGCTTGAACTCATCCATGCAGCCTTCTTCTAACTGCTGGGAGCGTGCTGATGAAGGGAGAAAATGTACATAGAGGTTGGTGAGTAAAGTAGACCGTCCATCTAAATGATGAGCTTTAATTGTTTTAGAATCACAATCTGGTAAAAACAATAGATAACCAGTGTTGAGGTGTAAATTTTAATGATAATAAACATTTAACTGGTATACAAGAAAAGGCATGTTGTAAAAGACCATTCAAATATCCCCATAGCTATTGAGGTTGAAGAGCTCTTTTTCCACAGGATAATTAATGAAAACATGGGGAGCAGGCCCACAAGTGGCACTACAGGGGGTAAGTGTTGGGCTCATGTAGCAGGATCCTGTTTGTTAAGTTGACCGTTGGACATGAAGTCAACAGAATGATGAGGATGGAACCCCTGGTAAGTGGGGTTAAAAAACATGGTCACATAAGAAAGCTCTGTATAGAGAAATGGAAGGATGGAAACAGAACACAAGATATACATATGAACGGAAAGAAGGTGTGAAAGAGAGGAAGGAGGAGAAAAAGATAGGAGAGAGGAAGAAGAATAGTTAAGAAATGGGCAGAGAGAGGGACTGGTGCAGTAAGTGCTTCCTACTAGAATGGGGGCTGCTATAAGGAGGTGAAGCTTTCAGGCGGTAGGGAGGCATGAGCGTGTTGAATCTATGGGGTTCACATCAGGTGTAATTTGTTTTTTTACTATGCAGTCCACTGTCTGACAACGTCATAATGTTTTTGTTTATGCCCTCCAATATATCATGACTATACACAAAGCTTATAAAGATGGATATTTGTTTCCTGTTTCGGGAACACCAGCTCAAACAGATAATAAAATGCATCTAAAGCCAAAACTTTTTTTTTCAGTTTTGTATAGAGTTTTGAGGGGTTTTATTGTTGTCTTTGTCCCTGTTGGGTTGATTTACTCTCTGTTTGCCCTGGTGAGGATTGTTACCAGGACCCGAAAGTGAGGGAACATCCAAACATTTGAGTTGTTGCCAGAACAGTAATAGAAATGAAATGTTTCAGTGGGGACACCTATTCTGGTAACAACTGCCTAAGAGTGAAACAAATCTCCCCAAGTGGTTCCCCAGGGGCCTGGAAGGGAGACCTGGGGGGGGGGGGGACCCCAGGGAGTAACAA